GGTTGCGATCCGTTGCCGGACATGAAAAAAGACAAAAAGGAAAAAAAAAAAGAAAAAGAAATCGTATATCTGATAAAGGATTAATATCCAGAATACATAAAGAACTAAAACTCAACAACAAAAAACCAAACAAACCAATTCAAAAAATGGGCATATACCCAGTAGTGGGATAGCTGAATCATAGGGCAGATCTATTTTTAGTTCTCTGAGGAACCTCCATACTGTTTTCCACAGTGGCTGTACCAATTTACACTCCCACCAGCAATGTAGGAGAGTTCCCTTTTCTCTACATTCTCGCCAGCATTTGTTATTTTTTGTCTTGTTGATAACAGTCATTCTACCTGGAGTGAGATGATATCTCATTGTGGTTTTAATTTGCTTTTCCCTGATGATTACTGATGTTGAGCATTTTTTCATGTGCTTGTTGGCCTTTGTATGTCTTCTTTTGAGAAATGTCTGCTCAGGTCTTTTGCCCGTTTTTTAATTGGGTTATTTGGTTTTTTGCTGTTGAGTCATTTAAGTTCCTCATATATTCTGGATATTAGCCTTTTGTCTGATGTGTGATTGGCAAACTTTCTCCCCTTCTGTAGGTCTTACTTACTTACTTTGTTGATAGTGTCCCTTGTTGCGTAGAAGCTTTTTAGTTTGATGTAGTCCCATTTATGTATTTTGCTTTAGTTGCCTGTGCCAGCTATCTCACTACTGGGTATATACCCAAAGGAAATGAAATCAATATATCAAAAATCCCACGTTCAAGGCAGCACTATTCCCAATATCCAAGAGATGGAATCAACCTAACTGTCCATCAATGGATGAATGGATTTAAAAACTGTGGTAGATATACACAATGGAATACTACTCAGCTATTTAAAAAAAAATGATATCCTATCATTTGCAGCAACATGGATGGAACTGGAAACTATCATGTTAAATGAAGGAAGTCAGGCACAAAAAGACAAATACTGTGTGATATCACTCATATGTGGAGTCCAAAAACATAAAAGTGGTGTGGGGGTTAGCGAGAAATTGGTAAAGGGCCACAAAAAATGATTACATTGTATAATGTTGAATACACTAATTATCCTGATTTGAGCATCACATATTGCACACAGGTATTGATATTCAATGCTGTACCCTATAGATATGTACAATCGATTATGTTTCAATAATAAATAAATAATATAAAAGTGGTTCTCATAGAAGTAGAGAGTAGAATAACGGTTATCAGAGGTGGGGGTGGGAGGGAAAGGAGGCAAATGGTGGACTAATGGGTACAAAACTATGCTATCTACCCTAAGTGAATTCAATACACTATATGCGTGTATTGAAGCAACACATTCCACCCCACAAATATGTATAAATAAATGTTAAAATATTTTGAGTAATTAAAATAAATAAATAAATAAATAAATAAAATAAATGGTTGCATCTCTGAGGGGAAAAAAAAATGGGCAAAGGACTCGAATAGACATTTCTCCAAAGAAGATTTACAGATGGCCAGTAGCACATGACGAGATGTTCAACATCACTAATCATTAAGGAAATGCAAATCAAAACCACAATGAGATATCACCATTCACACCATTATCAAAACAAGAGCAAATAACAAGTGTCCTGAAGGAGGTAGAGAAACTGGAACTTCTGTGCCTTGCTTGTAAGAGTGTAGCCACCATGGCAAACAGTTTGACAGTTCATCAAAAAGTTAAACATAAAATTACCATATGACCCAGCCATTTCACTCCTAGGTGTATATCCCAAAATTGAAAGCAGGGACTCAAACAGATACTTGTACAACTATGTTCAGAGCAGCATTCCTCACACTAACCAAAAGGTGGAAACAGCGCAAATGTCCATCAATGAATGACTGAGTAAACAAAATGTGGTGTATCCACACAGTAGAATATGATTCAGCCTTAAAAAGGAATGAAACTCTGACACACGCTACAACATGGATGAACCATGGATGCTAAGTGAAGTAAGCCAGACACAAAAGGAGAAATATTGTATGATTCCACTTATATGAGGCACCTGGAATAGGCAAATTCATAGAGAAAAAAAGAATAGGGGTTATTAGGGAGGGTGGGGAGGAGGAAATGAGGAGTTATTGTTTAATGGGTATAGAGGTTCTGTGTGGGATGATGAGAACATTCTAGAAATGGATAGTGGTGATGGTTGCACAAAATTGCAAATGTACTTAATGACAATGAACTATATATTTAAAAATGGTTCAAATGATAAATATTGTGTATATCTTACCATAGTAAAAAAAAAAATGCTAAATAACAAAACACAGACACACAAACATACAAGCAGAAAAAGAAAAATGAAGAAAAACAGGCACCTTACCGTCCAGGGATGAAACCAGAACGACATGAAGACAAATGATGACAAGGAATATCTTGAACACCAGTAAAATTTCTTCAGGTCTGCCAACATGGCCACACTGCCCACCAGAGAAAAACATTCTGGAATACAGCAAGAGGAAAACAGATCAGCACAGCTGCCAGTCACAACACAGCTACCCAAAAGGCCATTCCTCCACCAAGAACCTGTGATCCTGCTTCCTTTAAATGACTATGGCTCCAGAGGATCAGCAGTGGCAGGTGGGCACTGGCTACAAAAAGCAAAACACATGTTTATTATGGAAGGGTCATCCAGTAGGATATTATATTTAAAATGAGAAATAAGGTAGTCCATGTGGATTTATGGAAAACATTAACACATGCAAAACATCTAGAGAAGAAATTAAAAACACAAAATGTTACATACATAATTATTACCACTGTATAAAAAGCTGGTTAAAGACTATAGTAAGAATCAGAAGCAGTCACAGAATCTTCTAAATAATCTATTCCTATTGATGTTTTATACTACAAAAGGATAGATATACTGCATTTCCTCTTTCTTGCATGTTATTTTATTATCACCACTTGCATTTTTAGTAGTCAGGACAGCAAAGAGTCAACATTTTTAAAAAAGCAAATGGGTTGGCCCGTGGCTCACTTGGGAGAGTGTAGTGCTGATAACACCAAGGCCACGGGTTCGGATCCCTATATAGGGATGGCCGGTTAGCTCACTTGGGAGAGCGTGGTGCTGACAACACCAAGTCAAGGGTTAAGATCCCCTTACCGGTCATCTTAAAAAAATAAAAAAATAAAAAGCAAAGCTTATAGCAGAACTGAATCTAAGTCTCATTTACCATTCATTTATTCATTCATTCAACAGACACTTATTGAGGGCCAGTATGTATCAGATAAGATGTGAGGGCTGACTAGGCGTTAACTCGATGAAATACATGTGGTAGAGGTGGGGCAGGGCTGGGGAGAGCTTAGCGCACAGAGAGAATTGCACATGCTGAGACTGCATCCCTCCTCCCATGTCGACGAGCTGGCCAACATAACCTCAGGTTGGGCAGTCAGCACCAGCAGCGGAGGCTGGCATGGGATGCTGAGGGAGAAAGAGGCCAGCCAGGAAGTCACAACCCACTCAGTCTCAGGCACAAGCAGGGGGGCATTGAGAGCCCACTGACTGAGCAGGCTTCCTCTACACAGAATGGAAGTAGCCAGGACAGACCAGGCCATGTGCTCTCAGTTAGAGCTCCTGGCCAAGGGTGCCCATGAATTCAGTCACCACTGCAGCCTCTGCAAGCCTGAGGTACAGTGTGCATACACAGAGGTGAAGACTAAAGGGTATGAGTTCAAAGGTCCCAGCTCTGCCACATAATGTCTGAGTGACTTGGGACAAAGTTATTTCCAATGGTCAAGTTTCCCCATCTAGCAAACTGTGACAGCAGCACCAACCTGATAGTGTTGCTATGATGAGTGACAAAAGATCTTTGCGCAGTGGCTGGCGCTGTGCATGCGCTATAAATGTTAGCTGTACTCTTCATTCATTCATTCAACAAATATCCATTTTGCACTTACTATGTGCAGGGTCAGGTAGTGCAGGGATTAAAAGGATGAGGGCATGGAAAGAAGGGGATAAATAAACCACGATTTCTCAGTCTCAAGGCAAAGCTGTCAATCTTTAAAAATCCTGTAATCTAATAGCCATAACCAGCACTAGGAGTGTAAGTCTTTCCTTGATATAGCGTGATAATGTCTTAGACCAGGAGGTGAATTCTTCTCCTGCAAAAGAGGGCTTACATTTTTAAAATTAATAAATTGTATTACACATCAATAATACAATATGTTAATAAATTATAAAATGCCTCTGATCTGTCCCTCCTTTTCAGCACTTTCATCCTCTCTCTTTTCCTCTAATGGCAGATTATTGATCTTTACAAATGAGTCAGTCAAATGAGAATGTTAATACAGTTGTGCAAAGATGTATCAATGTCTCCCTGGAGGAAGAATTTAAGTGTCTGCTATAGCTACACACAGCAGTATTGATGAATCTCACAAATATAATGTTAGTCAAGGAAACCAGACATGAAATGATTCCGTTCATATGAGAAACAAAAGCAGGCCAAACCAGTCGACGGAGTGAGATGTCAGGAGGTGGTTATCCTTGGAAGGGAGGGGATTGTGATAATAACAGAAGGGGCACAGGGCGCTTCTGAGGTACAGGTAATATTCTGTGTGGTGATTACATGGGTGTGTTCAGTTTGTGAAATTCATTGAATTGTACACTTTTATGTACATCATAAGATGCTTCAGGAAAAAGTAAAAAATTTATGTTTTTTAAGTTTCTGAATTCTGTTCCTCCTCCAAAAGCACTGCTCTTTAAAAAAAAAGAAAAGAGCAGTTCATTATTTAGTGAACTAAAGCTCTACAAAAAGCTCTCTCCTATACAAGTATCTTACGCTTGACTGGACCTGGAATTGGTAGAGCTGACTTAGAAGATTCAATGCACGAGTATCTAATTTTAGCTCTGAGAAGAGTATCAGAGCAGTTTATTTCTGGAAAGGAACTCAGAGTTCCCCTAGCCTCAAGCCCTTATTCTACAGAGATGAAGAAAGAGGCGCAGTATGCTCTAAGGGATGGGTCAAGATCATCTGGCTATTTGGTGGAACCCCTACTTGTTCTACCAGGCCACAATGCCAGCCTCCTGAGAATTTGTCTCCTTGGAAATAAAATGTTTTGAGTCCATCAGGTGAAATGAATCAACAAATTCAAAATGCTACTATACAATTTCAAAATTTCTGCAAACTCATTCTTGAGCTGTGCCAACTCCTAGGGAAGGATCTAAGTGGTATACAAGATCTGGTCAAAGTTTAATTAGTGTACACAGTGACTGGTTATTATGTGCTGTGACTTGGGCCTCTGATCAAAATTAACCATGACTTTTTACTGAAGGGAACATGTAGTCAACTCCCAAATGAGGGTAGGAAAGGCCAGAATAAAGAATGATTCCAGCAATCATCTTGAAAAGAGAATATGTGTCAAGAACTTACTATAGTCTGGGTGCCACTGAGAAAACTGCTTTCACTTGTCAAGTCTGGAATATGTGTCCTCAAGGCTGAATATATATTTGCTAATATATCTGCTAATATATATTCAGGAGGAGAAGTTTTATGGTATTTGAAATAATGTAGCTTGTATTACTTTCTGCATAAATTGAGAACGTCCTGCTAGGTCATAAGGCCTCTAGGATCATTGATCAAAGAGAGAAATCTGTGAATTTTGAAGTCCTTACTCACTATACATAAAAATCATTTTAATCTTTTTCAGTTGGAATCTTCCTTTACCATCTGGTGCAATCAGGTTAGCTCAATGTTATCTAGGCCTTCAATAAAGATGATTTGAATAGTCACTCATTCTTAGCAAATTTTTAAGGTATTAAGGATGGCTAGCAAGATAGTATTAATTACAGAGATAACTATTTGCTAGCATTTAAATGGTAAAATCTAGACCTTGACACTAGACAAACACTCATTAAAGATTATTGGCCGGCCCGGTGGCACACTGCGCTAGTGCGCCACTTGGGAAGCGCGGCGGCGCTCCCGTCGAGGGTTCGGATCCCACATGCAGACCGGGTCCCGCTCACTGGCGGGGCGAGG